GCCGCAACTGGAGGTGGCAGACCTTGAACTGGAAGGGGCGGGAGGGGGAATCCCGGCACGGAGGTGCCTCAAGGCCCCTCCACTACCAGCACCAGTTGTTCCAGATCCGCCTGCCGAGGCGCCAGCACTGGCTACAGCCACCTCCTGAGGTTTGGCTGCGGGGGGGGGGGAGTAGCGATCTGGTGACCTATGGCTCACGTGCCCGCAGAAATGGCTCTGCATGCCAGCTGTGGCACGCATGCCATAGGTTCGCCATCGCTGGCCTAGTGGATGAAGAGATGCCCAATACATGAGAAGTGAATGTGCCATTTATGCCGATCAGCAACCATCAAACCAATACAGAGAGGGGGAAACTATTCCTCAAGGAAGCATTTGCCCAATTAAACATTAAGTTGTATTCTAAAAATCAGCAAAGCAAAGCAAAATCTGAACAGAACATCGTATCTACAAAGCAGCTTAGAAGGCAAGGCATTTGGAACCAGTAGAATAGCTACTTCATCTATGTTTTTGATTCAATTACCTTAACAGCCCATGGGATATCGACTGGCGCTCCTCCAGATAATAAAGGGCTAGTGGAATCATTCTGACAGAAAAGATAATTTAAAAAATTACCTATAAAATACACTTTTGAAATATTATTTTTAGTTTTTCTTAATTGCACTGGTAATTATCGCTTGGTTTAGGTCACATTCAAATCAATCACCCATTCCTACCACATGTAGAGTGCCCATATAACTTCATCTTCCTTACATCCTTAAACAATGTGTGCATACTGTAAACTAAATCATCTTAGTTGACAATTGAAATCAATCTATTATAAAAATGACTAATAACATGACTTAGTAACATTTATCTAAACTGAAAAAAAGTACCGTAACTATGCTCATGGAGGAAGAGGTTTGACCTGATTTTGATTCCAAAATCTTTTAACTTCTTGCCTTAATGTTTGGCACTTTGCATTTTTTTGTACTTACTATATTTTTGTGGTTGGTTGTTGATGGAACTCCCACTTCTATAAGGCATGTTGTTTATCCACCTTATTAATACAGTCAGTGGTGTCTCGACTTATGGCCGTCCCAACTTACAACCAATTTGAGTTACGACCAGCTCCGGCCACAAAATGTTGCTTCAACTTGTGATCAGAGCTTTGAGTTACGTGTTTTGTTTTTTGGTGTGTGGGTTTTTTCGGCCTGAACGTGTTCCAATGGGGCTTGCAGTGTTTTTTTGGGTGTGAGTGTGTGGTTTTTTTTTTTTTTTGCCCCAGCGTGTTCCGATGGGGCTTGCAATGTTGTTTTGTTTTTTGCCCCAGCGTGTTCCGATGGGGCTTGCAGTGTCTGTTTTTCCCCAGCCCGAACACATTCTGATGGGGCCTGCAGGGTTTTTTTGTGTACGTGTGTGGGGTTTTGGTGATTTTTTTTTACCCCTGACCTGAACGGATTAATGGGGTTTCAATGCATTCCTATGGGAAATGGTGCTTCGAACTATGACCAATTCGAGTTACAACCATCTTCTGGAACAGATTAAGTTCGTAAATCGAGGCACCACTGTAATAAAAAGTTAACTGCTTTACCAGTGATAATTTGCTTATCCCAGTAAATACTGAGGTCTCAAATTCTAAAATAGGGTGGAATTTATAACGTGCAAAAGAACAGGAGAGTAATCCATTAGATTTGGCCAACTGCTGAAAAATAATCTTTGCAACTAAGTTTTGCCTGCACATATGATCCACTGATGTTAGTTTATGGCATCCAGCTATGATATGATGAATTGTTTCCTTAGATTTTTTTACAGGCCCTGCATGTATCACATATACCTCGCTTCGCATTTATTTTCTGATAGTACCTAGCATGAATAAATTTATCTTGGATTGAGCATGCAAATCCCTCAGAGCAAATCCCTACATACGAATGCCTCAAGACAGCCTAATTCAAGGTGTAGGTTTGACTGTTTATCAAAATTATCATCCAGGAGATAACTAGTGTGCTAACTGTGTAACAGTTTCTCAATCATGTACCACCTTTTTCTGCCTATTATGATTATGATAATTAAAACATACCAGACTGAGTCAATCTAAATTATTAAAACACTGACTGGTATTATATAACAGATACAAGTTTTAAACGAAAATCTAAATATGTTAAATACTGGCACAGTATGTATGCTGTTCACAATATTGCCATTTTTGTAGCTCTGTTGATGTTATTTCTGTAATCTGCAACTGCTTATAACACTGCATGAAATTTCTTGATATTGTTCCCAAAGCCCCAATGATGATGGGCACCCACTGAGGTGTGTTTCACCCACAAGTGAGATGTTTCGATTGCCAGATCTCTGTATTTTGTTAGTTTTTCCAAATCTTCATTTTCAACTCTAGCATCCCCTGGAAATGCAATGTCAATGATCCAGACATTTCTTCATTCTATTACTACTATGTCTGATGTCTTATGTTCAAGGTGTCTATCAGTTTGGATCTGGACATCCCACAAAAAGAGGTTACTTACCTGTAACTCTGGTTATTTGAGTTGCCATCTGTGAAGTCACACAATTGCGTTTTAGTGTGCCTGTGCAGAGACTCTCGGAAACAAACCAATGGAATTCTGTAGCCGAAGTGCTGCTGTAGTGGCGACAAAAAAGGAACTGAGGCACTCTATGGCATGGGCGGGGCACACGAGACAGGAGGGAGGTCCTAACGGACACGTTTCAAAGCTCTAGAAGTTTCCAAGAGTTTCTGCGCAGGTGCACTAAAAACCAATTGTGTGCATTCAGAGACCACAAATGAGATCTTGACCTCACTTTCTGACAGGTTTTCTACACAATGGTTCCATGGGTTTTTGGAAGCTGGCAAGTTAACATTTTGCATAATGACCAGTACACTAATTTTGCCACTTTATCATGTCTAATTTGTGCAAAAAGATGTCTTACAAATCTAGGTGGAGGAACAGGCAGGTTAAGACTACTCAGTGAAACATCCAATCCATTCTGTGCACAAGCTACAAGACGTAAAGCCACAAAAAATTCCTATAGAGAAGAAGAAAGAAGAAACAACCATTTTAAATTCACAAAATGAGATTGTAACTTTTAAAAAATGCACACTTTCTACAATAGGCCCATTGTACTCCACTTATATTTTGTGTTGATACGAAAATGTTTGCTGTATTTTGAAGTTTGCTTTTTGGAAACTGGTACTATAAAGCAATTTGACATATATCTCTAAATAGTTCTTAATAATACATAATTGTTCAGCAATTGGGAGGGGCACATTCAAAGCAATATTCACACATTCTTGGCATTCTAATCCTATAAAAATACTGCACATTTCCAACAAATTAAATTGGGAGGACTTTCCTAAAACAGTTTTTCAAAAATATATGATGCAAAATTCTCTGATCTTGCCTTCTCTCACTTTCATCTTGAAAACACTGCACTATGCACCATACAATGCTTATTCTGCAGTCAAATATTTATAAACCACCCAAGCCACTTACCCCAGTGGTCGGGCAACAGGGACAATTTACCCCAAATTGGGTAAAAATTAAAATCCTAGGGGTAATGAGCAGAGCGCTACACCCCACCTCACCCCCACCCCTGCAGCTCAACCTCAAACTGTAAGCCACCTCTCCCTGCTACCTTCCTTGGTTCCCGCAGTTGTAGATCACTTCTTTTAGAAATTGCAGATAAGCCAGCTTTATTGTTTATGGTTGTAGAACAGCCTGGGGCACTCAAGCCAGCTTGTGAATGACTATTTTGCCGGAAGGAAAGTGAGAGAGAGGGAAGGGTGGATTCATTAAGCTTGTTTAAAGATAAGCTTGTAGAAAATTTAGAGAGGGAGGGTGTGTGTATGCGTGAGAGAGACTGACTTTCATAAAGCCATGAAAAAAAGGAGATGACTGTAAGGAGAGAAGGCTCCAATTAAGACAGGAAGGTGCAAGAGAGGGACCAGGTGGTTTCATCAAGCTTGTTTGCCATCACCTTCATACTGAACTGAAGCAACTAATTGTTGAAAATTTAGGGTGTGTGTGTGTGTGTGTGAAAGAGAGAGAGAGACTTGACTCTTTCATAAAACCATGAAAAAAGCAACCTTAAAATTTAATCTCCACTGCATTTAGTTCTGCAGTTTCTGCTGAGAAGAGCGAGTACTTCAAGATTCTGTTTAGACACTGAATTTGTACTGGGCAGAACCGGAATATTTAGAAGAGTTTCGCTAGCAGCAAACACGTAGTAAAAGACAACCAACACACCTGGGACTAGATGTCTGAAGTGTGTATCAACTGCGTTTCTCTATTTCTCATTCCCAAAGCAGGCAAGAGTATCATAGTTTATTCCCCAAATCTGAACCCCTGTCTCTCTGCTCCTGGTCCTGCTTTGACTGCAACACCAAACAAAAGGTCTTACAAACAAAGACTGTGGCTTTCTTTACTGAGTCAATCTATTTCATGTGCATTCTTCCTATCTTCCTACTGTACTGCAATTTTTCCTACATTGCTGTCTTTTCCAGTGAGCTTGTCTTCCCATGATGTCACTGTAATACCCTTTGTTTGGTTATTTTAGCTTCTAGTGAAAGTCCACATGTAATGTGCTTTACTTATCTCTCTGACAAGTCATGCTATCTATAAAACTCTTTTCCAACACTACATTTCAAATAAGTGAAATGTGTGTATACACTTTATGTAGTGTATAAAATGTGTATTAAAAGTCTGCACTCCTATATATAGCTGCTTTCCTGAGGGTGGTTTACTCTGGAGGAAGCAAGTTCAGGATTTCAATGTACTTAATAATCTTTATAAATGTTGTTGTTTTTTAGTTGTTAAGTTGTGTCCTACTCTTTGTGACCCCGTGGACAAGAGCTCGCCAGGCCCTCCTCTCTTCCACTGCCTCGAAGTTGGGTCAAATTCATGTTGGTTGCTTCGGTGACACTGTCCAACCATCTGATCCCCTGTCGTCCCCTTTTCCTCTTGCCTTCACACTTTCCCAACATTAGGGTCATTTCCAGGGAGTCTTCTCTTCTCATGAGAGGGCTAAAGTATTGGATGTGTCCTTCCAGTGAGCACTCAGGGTTGATGTCCTTCAAAATGGATATATTTGTTCTCCTTGCAGTCCAGGGGACTATCAAGAGTCTCCTCCAGCACCAAATTTCAAAAGCATCAATTCTTCGGCAGTCAGCCTTCTTTATGGTCCAGCTCTCACTTCCATACATCCTACTGGAAAAACCATAGCTTTGACTATGCGGACCTTTGTTGGCATGGTGATGTCTCTGCTTTTTAAGATGCTGTCTAGGTTTGTCATCGCTTTCCTCCCGAGAAGCAGGGGTCTTTTAATTTTTGGCTGCTGTCACCATCTGCAGTGATCATGGAGCCCAAGAAGGTAAAATCAATTACTGCCTCCATATTTTCCTCTTCTATTTGCCAGGAGGTGATGGGACCAGTGGCCATGATCTTAGTTTTTTTGATGTTGAGCTTCAGACCATTTTTGGTTCTCTCCTCTTTCACTCTCATTAAGAGGTTCTTTAATTTCTCCTCACTTTCTGCCATCAGCAGTCAAAGGCTTTTGCGTAGTCAATGAAGCAGAAGTAGATGTTTTTCTGGAACTCTCTGGCTTTCTCCATAATCCAGCGCATGTTGGCAATTTGGTCCCTAGTTCCTCTGCCTCTTCAAAATCCAGCTTGTACTTCTGGGAGTTCTTGGTGGACATACTGCTGAAGCCTACCTTGTAGCGTGTGAAATGAGTGCAATTGTACGGTAGTTGGAGCATTCTTTGGCAGTGCCCTTCTTTGGGATTGGGATGTAGACTGATCTTTTCCAATCATCTGGCCACTGCTGAGTTTTTCATTGATGATGATTAAAAAAAATAGCGCACTGGTCCTTTGATGTTGGGCTGTGGCACCAGGGTGGGTGGCCTGACCTTTAGCCTCAGTCTTTTCATTCTTAGTTCTTTTTTTGCACATCACACACAGAATGTTGAAAGTGGTAGGAAAACCCACCCACCCCCAACTCAGAAGTCTCTAGCAAACACGTCATTGCTAGCACCACTCTGGCAGCCACTGATGATGACTAAATCCTCTATGTGCTAGCAAAAACTTAATGCAACTTGCCAGGCATGTTGGACACCTTACTGCTCCCTATATCACCCAATGGCTGATGTGCAATGTGTTCCAGCAAAAATAGTTCACATTTGGTGCATCCTGCTAGTTCGGTACACAGCCTGTGTAGATTCAGTAAGATTACGAATTTAAATACTCATACAGTGATGCCTCGCTTAGCGATTGCCTCGTTTAATGATGTATTTGCTTAGCGATGAGGTTTTTGGAGTGATCTTGCGCTCCATTTAGCGATGTTTCCTATGGGGAAATTTCGCATAGCGATGTTTGGGACCTTGCTTTGCTTAGCGATGACCGTTTAGGTCCCCCTGTTTCGCTTAGCGATGTCCATTTTCGCTATTTTAAGTGTGTCTTAAAATCTTCAAAAACTGTTTAAAATGCTTGGAATTGTTAGTGCACCTTGTAAGACCTTTGCAAACTTAATTTGGCTTTGTTCTGAGTCTTCGTTAATTTTTGGTGAATTTTTACCCCCATTAGAATGCATTGAATTGTAGGTTTGACAGCTGTCCGGGTGAGCCTTCCAGGACCCTTGTGACGCTCCCCCCACCCCCCACGGGCCAGCGTGGGCAAAACTGTCAGCTTCCAGGTGGGGGGAGCATCGCAAGGGTCCTGGAAGGCTCACTTGGACCCTTGCAACGCTCCCCCCACCCCCGCATGGGGCCAGCATGGGCAAAATCGCCAGCTTCTGGGAGTCTTTTGAGGCTTGGGAAGGATTATATCCATATCAGTCCTAATAAGAGTTCCTTCTAAGTCACTGCACTAAAACAACAGATCAAGAATTATCAATATTTCCTATGCAGCTGGATGTCAACCTCATTTTAACAATTAGCTAACACAGTAGTTCTCAACCTTTGGTTCTTGGGCTGTAACTCTCAGAAATCCCAGCCAACACAGCTGGTGGAGAAGACTTCTGGGGATTGCAGTCCAAGAACACCTGGGTTACCTAAGGTTGGGAACCACAAAACAAGAACATCTGTTTGGAGACTAAGGGGGAGAAATGACATAATCAGTGGATTATGGCAGTGGTCCCCAATCTTGGGCCTCCAGATGTTCTTGGACCTCAACTCCCAGAAATCCTGGCCAGCAGAGATGGTGGTGAAGGCTTCTGGGAGTTGCAGTCCAAAAACATCTGGAGGCCCAAGGCTGGAGACCACTGGATTATGGAATCAGTTCTTGCAACATGATTTAGGAAAGTCGTGCCACATATCACATGCCAGGATCTGGTATAGAAGAACAGGAATTTATGAGAGGAATGCTCCTCTTCCTGCCTGTGCTTTACTCAAGCTTCTTTCTACAAGAAGATTATATGAGATTCTTTTCATCTTCCTTCATCTCTCAACTGTACAAACAACACCATGCTATTGTCTGAGCTGAGAAAGATGAGGGAAGGCACATGTCTGCAAATTCCTGCAAGTATATACACTACTCTCCTGTTCAGGTGTCCCAGGTAGCATTGAAGAATGAATGAAAAGGAGGAGCAGAAGTGAATGTGTGTGCATACTGTACTGTGCTTACCTCCCTTTTGCTTACCCAGAAAATAGAGCCTCAGTGCTACAGAAACATCTTTTAATATTCTCATTATTTTTGACAATATTTATTTAAAGAAGGAAACACATTTTACCTGCTTGTTTAAGATGCCTTTGCCATCTGTATCAGCAAGGTCCCAAATCTAAATATAGACAGATGAAGTGTGTGAAGCAATGCTAGAAATTGGTCCATTTTGACAGGCAACATAAAAATAAAGAATCCTAAATATTTAACCACATGTTTTAATAGTACATTAATATTGTGTTCTTTACTCTTTTTGTCCAATGCAATATTTTCAATTCCAATTCAATGCAACTTTTCAGTTTTTATTAAAGAGGAAGCAGTTCTGTTACACTGCTCAACCTGAGTTCATTACAAAAATCTTAGAACACCCTCATATGCTGTTTAACATCTACATGGAACCGCTGGGAGAGGTCATCAGGAGGTTTGGGCTGAGGAGTCAGCAATATGCTGACGACACTCAGCTCTACCTCTCGTTTTCCACCAATCCAGGTGAGGCAGTTTCTGTGCTGAACTCATGTCTGGACCTGATAATGGACTGGATGAGGATTAATAAATTGAAACTCAATCCAGACTAGATGGAAGTGATGTTAGTGGGTGCTTCGCCGGACAGGCTGGACAGCCATTTCCCTGCCCTGAATGGGGTTACACTCCCCCTAAGGGACAGAGTCATCATCCTGGGGGTGCTCCTGGACCCCAGTCTAACTCTGGAAACCCAGGTGGACTCGGTGGCCAGGGTCGCCTTCCTTCAGCTACGGCAATTGTACCAGCTACAGCCCTACCTGAATGAGTGGAGTCTCATGACAGTTACACACACACTGGTAACGTCTCGTTTAGATTATTGCAATGTGCTCTATGTGGGGCTGCCTTTGAAGACAGTCCGGCGACTGCAACTGGTCCAGAATCAAGCTGCGCAGCTGGTGAGTGGTGGGCCGCTAGGGGACATATCAAGCTGATTCTGATTAAATTACATTGGTTACCAG